ACGAAATGTCGAGACAATGAACCTTGATAGAACTCTCATAAAACAGCCGCTGCAGGCGGCGTTTATGAAGATATACTTGGGATGTCACAAAAATACATTCTTCCTGGTTTTTTTATATCCTTTTCATGAAGACATCCATTTCGATGCCTTAGTATTACTATCAGCAATAACCTTTCTTGGGAAAATCACGTGAGATCAATTGCTAAAAGTGCATCCCAAAAACTTGGTTTTCTGTTTCGGGCCAGGAGCTATTTCACTTCCAGTCAGCTGCTTATGATCTATAAGGCTCAGATCGAACCTGTCCTGGAATACTGTTCCCATATTTGGAGTGCAGCACCCAAACATACCCAGAAACTGTTGGACTCTGTTCAAAGAAATGCAAATTGTACCGTGGGTGATGCCTCGCTCACAAACTCACTCACTTCTCTGGAACACCGTAGAAAAGTTGGCGATCTGGCTCTATTTCATAGATATTTTCATGGACGATGCTCTCCTGAAATATCAACAATTGTTCCTTCCTTGGCAGTCCCTGCGAGATTAACCCGTGGAGCTGAGGCTCCGCACCCCTTCGTGGTCACTTTGAAGACCTGCAGAACATCTCTTTCCAAAGACTCGTTCATCCAACGAACAGCGAGTCTCTGGAACACATTGCCAAGGGAGGTGTTCCCCGAGACATATAACCTCCAGAAATTTCAGAAGAACATCAAATCCTGCCTTATTTACCTTGGTTCTGACGATGATCTCTGAACATTACAGGATATCCCTTTTCGTGGGAACCAGAACATAAAAAAATAATGGATACAACGTAACCTTTCCAAAGCGTTTTGCGCACATTTGATCACTGCAAATAAACCATTCGTGGTGGGTATATAATAGAAAAAAGAAGAAAATTATAGCTTTTTCCGCTTGGCAATCGAACCAACTCTCTTCTGATTGAATTTTCACAATGTTTACAGCTTGCCCACTACGCTATAGGTACCTAATTGATGAATGATATGAGTAGGAATATGTCAACATTCACTTCATTATTATAGTAGGATAATACTTAGCATTGAGGCTATATAAAGAATAATACTGTGAGTCAGGGAAACATTACAAATATAGATTCAAGAATAACATCCATATCATATTTCGATACGATTCTGTGTATATTTTCAAAATATTCTGAGATTATATCGAATTGAGTGTTCATGGAATACTTGTTGCCAGGATGAAAATATTTTATGATCAGTCTGAGAACATTCTATCAAAATATTCTAAAATAAGTACGAACGTTCTGAAGTCCAGTTTGAGTGATAAAAACTCAAAGAGGTTGTTATATTCATTATCATTAGGCGATAGGTAAAGGCAGCAGATAAATTTGGTCAGTTTGGTATCGACTAGCTTGAACCACATCAGAGTGCCCACCATTTGTAATGGATAAATTAATTTTCTACATTATTCGTCAATTTCAAGAAAAACCCTGACACACGTCGATTCCTGTTATCGAAAAGATACTCTGTGACATAGAAAATAGTTGAAGTTTTTCCTCCTTGATACCCCCCAACGTGAAAACCATCCCACCAATTTTTTCAAATGAAGTCTATTCGATTTTCTATACAGCCATATAATTTTTTTCAATTTGAACATTGGGTGGGTTGGTTGTCTCGTTGAGGGGGATTTTTTTTATGTCACAGAGTATCTTTTCAAACCGTTTCCAACCGTTATTACCATCGATGGTAACGTTCAAACACACATGATTCGACGTATTCCAGGGTTTTTCTTGAAAATGGCTATGATAATGTAGAAAATTCATTTACCCGTTACATTAATATGGTGCGCACTGTATACTTTCCTTACCCCGTACAAGCTTCGGCCTAAAAAAGCATATAACGTTTTTTTTCTCATTCGTGTTTTATTAGGGAGATATTCATGTTTGTTTCTACCATTACAATAATTCAAAGATTGTGTATTTGTTCTAGGGCCGAGAGCTCAAAAACGACGAACGAACGAGCATAACCTCTGGAGACGGCGTTTCGTGCCTCCTTCTTCAGGACATCACAGCAGACGATAGCGGAAAGTACGACGTTTCTGTAGAGAATATGTTTGGATCGGATTGCAACTACGCTTCGGTATCTGTAGAAGGTGAGACAGTCATATAGGAAATACAGGGTGTCCCAGAACAACGTACATTAAATTCAACAGGGTGAACTAGAGTTCAAAATAGGTCGATTGGGACCAACTTACCTCTGTACGAAAATGCACCATTGGGCCGTGACAGGGCGATGAATGGAATTTTTTTTCAGATGTTATTGAATATTTCAAAATCCTTGAGAGGTAATGCTCTGAAATTTGGAAGGCAGTCAAATATAAGAGGTGCATAGATAACAGGTCTCATCAGTTCAATCGATATACAAATTTAGCATTCTATGATTGGAGAAAATCCATAGAAATTTTTTTGAGTACGCCACTGACAATATTTTGATATCTACTTGAATAACATAAGCAATTATCTATCTTTTTTCTCACCACATTTCATTCTGAATTTTGCTTGGTTTACGAGATATCTGGAAAAATTCTTTCGGAGTCCCTCCATATCATCCATAGTCCAAGAAAAAAACTTGCAAACGACTTTGATTGTTAGCAGGAGGTGCAGACTAAAATCGACCGATCTGACCCTTTTTTCGTATCTACGCTATTATCACCCAAAATCTCCCTGTCAAGTTGAAAATGGGCCATCCTGTATGATGAAATGGTTATTAAATAATAAACATGAATACGTGACCAAAATATCAACATGAAGGAGGAAGAAACCTGTAGAACACGATAACTTTAATATCTTGGACTATGGATGATATGGGACTCCCAAAGAATTTTTTCAGATATCTCGTAAACCAAGCAAAATTTAGAAAGAAATGGCCCAACGGTGCATTTCGGTAAGTTGGTCCCAATCGACCTATTTTGAACTCTAGTTCACCCTGTTGAATTTAATGTACGTTGTTCTGGGACACTCTGTATAGTGAGATAATAGTTTTTTATTATACAAGAAAAAAAAGTATTCGATTTTACCTCGAGGTTGTGTTGTCCCCGGACGCTTAACGGCGAGAGACAAAAAACCGTGAACTAAAAGCAAATATTCTTCCCGTATATAATACACTATTTTTTTCTGTGACAGGAGAGAGGACGAATCATTATTGAGAAAGTATCACAGTATGAAAAAATCAGAAAATTATCGATGTGAAATTCGAAGATTTAAACTGGTAGTACACCTGTGTTTGTAGGCATCTTTATTGTTACTATGGAAACCCTTTGAAGTAATTGAAGATGTGTCAATTAATCTGTGTTTTGATTTCAAAAAATTGCGAACTTAGTGGTTGTTTAATAATTTACGTAACCGTGAAGTGGAATACAACAAAAAATGTACTCGCAATTCTTTCTCGGAGATGGTATTATTGCCTTATTTTTCGGAAGTGGCAGAACAGAAGCCATCCACAGTGCACCATTTTTCCCGTAGAAAAAAAAAATCATGAAAAGTGACATTTTGTAACCTGTCAACAGAGAGAATGTCAAACTCCTTTTCCGTCAGAGAAAAAAAAAATATTTTTTGAAAAAAAAATGAGGACGCATTCAGTACTACAAAACTTTTCATATGCTACTTATAGATAATATGCTCGAAATAAAAAGCATGAATTATGAAAGCATATTTATTACAAATGATACTTGACTTATATGTTCAAAGTACATTCATTACCTTACCAGGAAACTGGTATTCCAGGAAATCGAAAATTTGTGATTTGAACTACTTTGAATATGTCTTCAATCTCTTTCTGTTTCATTTGTATAGTATTGTTGAATGTTCAAATTGATAGTTCTCTTTCATACTACAGGAGTGCGGACCTTGATAGTATTATGTTTTTCATATAAAGTAAAAGCAAGTTTGGTTCCAGACTGTCGGACATTGTGAGTTATCACACAATGTGAAATCTGGTACTTGTGGAAATTTGCAATCGCGAAATACACTGCTCAACGTTTTAAATGAAATGCTAAAAGAGAATACACTTCTCATTTCTTGTATATGAATCTTTATTTCTTTTTTCGTATAAAGTAAAAGCAAGTTTGGTGACAGACAGTCGGAAATTGTGAGTTTTCACACAATGTGAAATCTGGAACTTGAGAAAATTGGTAATCGCGAAAAACACTGCTCTTTTCATAAATTACTTTTTTCCCGTGGGAAAAAAGTGAGTACTTTTTTCCGGATATATATCACATATATATACACTGTTGATGGCTTTTGTTGTGCTATAGTTCCGAGAAATGAGTCAATAATATACCGTCTCCGAGAAAGAACTGCAAGTCCTTTTATCTTCCATTCGACTTCGCGGTTACGTATATTACTAAACAACCACTAAATTCGCAATTTTTTGATATCAAATCACAGAATTAGACTGACAGAAGTGACATCAGATATTTGATTACTTCAAAAGAATGATAAAGATGCCTACAACGCAGGTGTCCCTACTGTTGAAAACTTAAAATCTCACGTCGATAATATTCAGATTTCAAAATAATGTAATATCTTCTCAATATTGATTCGTCCTTTCTTCTGTCACAGAAAAAATGTTGTATTATACACGGGAAAAATATTAGATTTCAGCTCACAGTTTTTTGTCTCCCTCAGCTACGCGTCGGGAGACAACACAACCTGGAGCTAAAATCTACTACTTTTTTTCCTTGTATAATAAATAACTATTCTTGGGGTAATAAAAACAATGAATCAACCAAATTGAAAATCAGATTTTCTGGACCTATGTTTTTTTGAACTTTAGTCTAAGATAACTTCAAATCACCCAAATAATCACCCCTTGAAGCCAGAGGCCTAAGTAACATCCTGTTTATTACCATTTCGACAAGATGAAGTAGTTTTTTTTTTTTCATCAGAATACGGTACTGACGAAATATCATTCTGATGGAATACGGTCTACATTCCTTGATTTTACTACATTATGATGCTTTACATTCTAATGAATAACTGCTCTATTGAATTACGGTCCCGTAAAAATATAATTCACATCGAATATATTTTGATACAAGACGGTTCCGATGGAATAAGTTTCGACGAATTGTATGCAGCCAGTGCCATTCCTCCCCCAGGTCCCCCCGACCCCCCCAGCGGCACGCCCTGCCTCTCCGCCTCTGGCCACACCGTCACAGTGACCTGGAGCAGCGCCCCCTACGACGGCGGCAAGATGGTGAACGGCTACGCGGTGGAGCACTGCCTGGTGGGCAGCGACATCTGGCGGGCGGCCGTGACGGAGTGCCACTCGCTCAGCTATCAAGTGAGAGGGCTGCAGCCGGGCGGACGGTACGTTTTTCGGGTGAGGGCGGTCAATGTGCACGGGTATAGCAGGCCGAGTCTCGAGTCCGAGGTCGTACAGCTGGAGGAGCAAAGTGAGTGTGTTCCAGATAATTTAGATTCACTTTGAATCAATCTTTCGGCTAATTTGTCTGAAAATTTGATATGTTTCAGATACGAGTGCCCTTAATACACAGATCGATCCTATGACCAGTTTTCGAGCTACAGGGTGTCAATAATTTGATTTAGGCTGTTTAGAATATTTTGCATCGATTTGAATTATGTGCTCCAAGTCGTGATAAACCTTCAATAGAAATGAACGCTCCACGTCTAATTTCTACCTCAAGAATCCCTCTATTCGAATAGATAATAATATCACATACAGGGTAGGGTGTATTGCATTCCATCATGACAAGGTAATATTCATGGGAATAGAAAAATAATAAAAATATCAGAATTTCGATTTTTACTCAATCACTGAAAACTTGAAAACAAACCGCTAGAATCGGCCAATTATTTGACACACTATGGATCTTGATCATCAACATGAGGATTCATCTGATTCCCTCTGATACAATGTCCGGTATGCCATATATATATAGGGTGATGACAATTTGAAAGCTTAGAATCGATGTACCTCATGTACAAAATGAGATATATATCAAGAATGGTTCATAACTGTTCAAATAATATATAAAGTGGAAAATAAAATGTCTCATGAAATACCCCCACCAACCCCCTGAGTCACAACCACTTCAACGCATATCATTTCAATAGTAGCCCCTACTTGTGATACCTCATTGAATAGTTCGGTGAAAATGCATTCCAGTGGTATTATCCATATCACGGACTGGGTGAACTAACAAAAAATATTCATTACCTAGATCATTCTGTTAGACTAGGGTGACGTATTAATTCCATAACTTTTCGTAGTATGAAAAAAATCGTTTAAATCGAGCACTATAAAGACCTATTTCTGAAATAGTTATGTTGAGGTGATTCGATACAATGATTCTTGTACAGTAGATCGATATAGCGAAAGAACATAGCAATGTACAGAATGTCTAGTTCCAGGTAAGTGAATGATTATGTTTACCAGAGGTCGAAATTATGTTGAACAATTTGACTAAGTATTGGTTATATTGGAAGTAGCCAATTTTCGAATATAATTCCAGTCAAAAGATATATTCACACAAGAAGATGATTTGAGCCACAATTGTGAAACTGGAATTAGAAAACGTATCATGAATATTTGAGTTCAGGATTTCTAGAAAAACTAATATAATATATCAAGTATTCAAACTATTATTATTTTGGAAACTTCGACAAATGAACCTTGAAAATATAAAACAGTGGTTATTACATTTGGAATTCATCTATTCGAATAGAGGGATTCATGAGGTATAAATTAGACGTGGAGCGTTTATTTCTACTGAAGATTTATCACGACTTAAAGCACATAATTCAAATTGATGCAACATATTCTAAACAGCCAAAATCAAATGATTGACACAATGTAGCTCGAAAACTGGTCATAGGATCGATCTGTATAATAAGGACGCTAACATCATAATATCCTGTAATGAACGCAAGGAATGTACTTTGGAAGTAGAGGGTAATTTTGAATTAGGACAGCAAACATCAGGGTACAACTCCATATATCTTCAAGTGTTTATGAGACATAGATGGAATTCTATAATACCCAATGAATAAACTCCATTTAGGAATCAAAATATTGTTCAAGATATGCATACACTATGAATTGATCAAATATCTGGTAATGCTCAGGAATCATAAATAATCGACAAGATGGCTATCGCCATGAGAGATCAACTGAGGATTTACTTGATTTATGTAACCCATCTATATACTGTAATGAACACAGTGACCTAAACGAATTTATTATTACCAGAACAAATGTGAGGTCTTCTTGAATTGAGACAGTGAATAAACATTCAGGTACAACTCGAAATATGTTCAAGTGCTTTTTGAGATACACTTTGAATAGTTTGACATCTGGAACGCTCAGAAATCATGAATGATGGACAATATACTGTAATGAAGGCGGGGAATCGAGCAAATTCATTAGTACGAGACTAATGCACTTCAGGAGGTAGAAGGCCTTCTGAATTGGGACAGTAAACGTTCAGGTACAACTCGAAATATCTTCAAATACTTACGAGGCATAGATAGAATTTTATAATGCCCAATATTATTAGGTGAATGAACTCTATTCAAAAATCAAAATATTGTCCAAAATATACATATAATGGGTTTATTATTAATTACTCATTGATATATGGCACTTGGAGAACAGATCAAAACAGCGTAGAGATTCACAAAAGTTATAAAATGGATTTGAATATGAAGATCGAAGTGATCATCAGTAGGATGGCCAAAATGCCTTAGGGTGTCGGGCAATCCACCAAAATTTTAGACTCTTGACTTCGTCGTAGACCTTATGTTAACTGGTTGGAAGTGAGACTGAAGATGTTAGCTTTCATTTCAAGCAAGTTCATTCCTGTTCAAAATTGAGCAATAATAGGAGACATTTAAAGTAATTCCACATATACTTCGATCATAGACGCCTCTTGTCCAAATGAAGCCCAAGTAAGTTAACTGCTTAGTCCATTATTAATTCCATCATTCATGTTGTAGATGAATCTGGGGTGTTCGAACCCCGAATAGTAACCGTAGAACCTGGTCCCGAGTTCAAATCCCGTTACGAAGTTCTAGAGGAACTGGGCAAAGGCCGTTTCGGCGTGGTCCACAAGGTCATCGACAAAGAGAAGAACCAGAAGCTGGCGGCCAAGTTCATCAAGTGCAGGACGTCCAAGGACAGGGACAAAGTGCAAGACGAGATCGACATCATGAATCTGCTGAGGCACCAGAAACTGCTGCAATTGGCTGCCGCGTTCGACAATCCCAGAGAAATGGTCATGGTGATGGAATAGTGAGTAAACACATATTTATACAGACTGTCCCAACCCAACCTCAAAGGTCTGTACAAGATGAAACTATAGACTCCCGAGACCAAAGTGGGATAATTGAAACAAACCCACCTCTACAGTGTGTCCCACTTACCATGCTCACCATGGGTATCTTTTTAACGGTGAGAGATACGAGGTTGGTTAAATGACACCAAATGTGGAGTTTGTCAAGGCCAACTATAATGTGAAAAAATATTTCGATAAAATCTATTCGTTTTTGTTTTATACGCAAAAAACAGATTTTGATCATTTTCATGTCTCCTCCGTAACTTCTTCATTTATGAAAATATTCAAATAGGAATTTCACATTCTCATGGCAGTTTTTCAAAGTGATTTCGAAAAAAATATGAAATTTATACCAACTTTAGTTTTTCAAATGTAGGTCATAGCTCACTATGACTAAGCTACAAATAACTTTTTTTTCTCTTACAGATGATATGTCGCAGTAATAGTTTTGTGTTGATAACAACGGAGTTATCGTTATTTAAACAAAAACAAAAAATTATTTGGAAGCCGCCATCTCGAATTTATAAATTTCAACAGAAAAATCATGGTCTCCGACCTCAAAAACCCCCACTTACCAAAAAATGATTTGGATGCCGCCATCTTCAATTCATGAATTTAAACAAGAAAATCATGATCTCCGACCTCAAAAACCCCCACTTACCAATTTTGAATGGAATCGGACCAAATCTTGTCCGCCATCTTGGAGCAGCCATTTTTTTTAATTCCAACAAAAATTTCATAATGAATTATTATTATCTTTATTATTATTCCCAAGAAACATACATGTTTATAGCAGGGAAAATTATGAAAGAGCAACTAAAAAAAACAAAAATTAGATAATCAGATAATCATTTTTAAATCATATACATAATACCAAAAAATTATGAACACCTGCCAAATTTCAAGTCAATCGAAGTTATGGAATTTTCGCTGAAATTTAAAAAAATGGCTGCTCCAAGATGGCGGACAAGATTTGGTCCGATTACATTCAAAATTGGTAAGTGGGGGTTTTTGAGGTCGGAGATCATGATTTTCTTGTTTAAATTCATGAATTGAAGATGGCGACATCCAAATCATTTTTTGTTTTTGTATAAATGACGATAACTCCGTTGTTATCAACACAAAACTATTACTGCGACATATCATCTGTAAGAGAAAAAAAAGTTATTTGTAACCAAGTCATAGTGAGCTATGACCTACATTTGAAAAACTAAAGTTGGTGCTGTTATCTCAAATTCTAGAAGAGTTGGTATAAGTTTCATATGTTTTTCGAAATCATTTTGAAAAACTGCCATGAGAATGTGAAATTCCTATTTGAATATTTTCATAAATAAAGAAATTACAGAGGAGACATGAAAATGATCAAAATCTGTTTTTTGCGTATAAAACATCAAGAACGAATAGATTTTATCAAAATATTTTCTCACATTATAGTTGGCCTTGACAAACTCCACATTTGGTGTCATTTAACCGACCTCGTATCTCTCACCGTTGAAAAGATACCCATGGTGAGCATGGTAAGTGGGACACACTGTATACCAAAACGCTTCATTTAGCCGGTAAAGGGAGTCGAAATTGGCTTTTATTTTTTCGTATACTTCGATATTGTCTATGAATATCGTTCTGAAATTTTGTAGGCACACTAAAAGTACTATTATAAGCATGAAAAACAGTCCATACCATAACTATACTGAATAATCTAGCAAAATGAATGTACCACCTCCTTGATTAACCTATAGACAGTATTGTCACACTATTCTTCTCAACGTACGATATTCTCATTTTCCGGGGTCCCTCAAGGATATGTTTTTGGGCCACTGTAATTGATTATTCATGAAACGAGTAATTGTTCTCGCAGGACTTGATGATAAACTCTGATTTTCTTCTAGTATTTCTGGTGGTGAACTCTTCGAAAGAGTGGTAGCTGACGATTTCACGTTGACAGAGAAAGATTGCATACTGTTCATGCGGCAAATTTGCGAAGGCGTCGCTTATATGCACACACAGAACATTGTTCACCTGGATCTGAAACCCGAAAACATAATGTGCCATACCAGAACATCACATGAAATCAAAATCATCGACTTTGGACTCGCTCAGAAAATAGACCCCAAGGAACCTGTTCGGGTCTTGTTTGGCACCCCTGAGTTCATACCCCCTGAAATCATCAATTACGAGCCAATAGGAGTTGAATCGGATATGTGGTCCATTGGAGTCATCTGCTACGTTCTGTGAGTAATGTTCATGTACTTTTCGATGCTCTCATCAGAATAATCGTTTTCCTCTTTTTGTTTTCAGATTATCTGGTTTATCTCCATTTATGGGTGATAATGATTCCGAAACATTTGCTAACATCACTCGAGCAGACTATGACTTCGAAGACGAAGCTTTCAATACAGTCTCTCAGAATGCCAGGGACTTCATTGGGGCGTTATTAGTCAAAAGAAAAGAGTAAGTGTTTACTATTAAAAATCCTATTTGGATACCATAGAGAGAGTGCTAATAACTGCTAAGGTGTACATAAGGCTATAAACCTGAGTTGTTGAATTGACATGTGAAGGATGATGAGGGCTCTATAAGTAAACCACTGTCTAAAACAAACATGATATATCTTCCTACGCTGAACTAACAAAGAAACAATAATATGATCTATATTTGTGAAAGATTAACTTGAAATAAAATCGGTTTCATCCCAAAATCATAACTTTGATGTCAATAATTGTTGAAATTTCACCATTGAATTTTTTTTGAAACGTCAAAGAACGACAAGGTTTTCTCCTCAAAGGCCTCTATTCATGGTAAAAGTATGTACAGTTCCTCATGATTCACCCTGTATAAAGAAAAACATTGAGAATTCGCATTCTCGCGGAAGTATACCCATCTGACAGCAACATATTTTTCAGAGAACGAATGTCTGCTGAGCAATGCCTGAAGCACGTTTGGCTAGACCCAGAAACTCACCAAGAAACCGTCGTCCTCTGCACAGATAAACTGAAGAAGTTCATTATTCGGCGCAAGTGGCAGGTGAGTTTCAACCCTTCTCGCTTGCATGTGCTGCTTTCCCTTCTCTTGTCGTTTTCGTTTTTCGCATGTGTGTTGCTTTATGCCCTCAGAAAACAGGCAATGCTATACGTGCCCTCGGTAGGATGGCAACACTGTCAGCAAGCCGGAGGAACTCTGCAAACTCCACTCCGAATACTCCCAGGCCTTCCATATCAGGCAGCTCTCTACCCAGAATGTCCAGCTTGAACGAAGAAGACTCTACTTCGAGCCTGAACGACAGCAATACCTCTTTCGATGTCAGTAATATATCAACAAAGGATGACCTAGAGAAAACCTGTGAAGAAATCGAAAATTTCATGTCCCGAAACAACATTATTACACCTTCAAAAACGAAAGCTATCGATGAAACTAAAACTCCAACTACCAAAATCATTAGGAGCAGAGCTTGTAGTGAAAGAAGTGACAGCGGTATAAGCGACTGCTCTACACACCCAGCGTCGAGTAGTTGCACCTCCACCCCTCTGTTGGGAAAAAAGTTCTGCATAAACGAAGAAGTTGAAGATACAGACGAGGAAAAGATCTTCAATACTTCTACCACGCTAGTCCTCAGCAGGAACAATAGTTTTAATGGAAAGAAAGGAGATTACAAGGTTTTGAGGAGTGATAGTAACGAAGTTGAGGACCTAAACCTGTCCAATGGGAAGAAACCCCCCTCAGGTTTGAGTTTGAAATTGTGTGATAAGATAGAGACTTTCAGCAATGTTTCTACAAAATGTGAGTATTTTTTGTGTTACATTTTGCTGTGTGTGTGATCTGATGTTATCATTGGTTATGTTTAATTGTCGGACCATTTTTTGAATAATGTATGTTTGGCAAGTTAGCCAACTGAGAATCACGACCAACATCTAATAACAAAATGACATATGCCCGAAAGGCAAGAAAAACATTGTATTTGTTTGAACGGCACCTGATATATTTGCAAACAAATCCATAATTTCATTAAGAGATAATATGAATCATGAAATCCAATACCAATACCACTGAATTAGATCAATTTAATTTGTTAGGATATTTACTAAGAGAATATGCCCTTTTCAATGTACATATTTTGTTTCATCTCGATATCACGTATGGAAAGTATATCCGGAATGACGACAGCAAAAAATAGATCAATCAAATTAATGGAAGACTCTCGCCTTCCTCAAATCTGCTTTTTGGCACTTACTGAATTGAATAATAAAGATGGAAGGTACAATTGGGTTGAGGAGGTCAAGCAATGTTTTTCGTTCGCTGATGAAGAACAACGCTGGCAGAATTTCTCATTGTACGTCTCCGAGAGAGATACTGCTTGTGTTTTAGAAGCATTCCAAAGGAAATTACTGCGCTATGATTTAGAGACATCATCGAATTCTTCATATCCACTCATCTACCGAGATCTGTGCTTGTGTCTTGATGGCCAAAACTAGCTGAAAGCTTCTCCGCCCATATACAGGGTGTTTCCTAACTACGGTTCCTAACTGCAGGGAGTGATTGGTTAGGTCATTTCAAGAAGAAAAGTTTCCATGAACATATATCCGGAGTTGCTTCGTTTCTGAGATAAAGGGCGTTGAAATTAAATAAAACAAACGATAATTATTATAAAATATCATGAATATCCTGTAACCGATTTGGTTGAAATTTAGTACTTTTATTTATCAAATTTTCTGAAATTTCAGCATATCAAGTGTCAATTAAATTTTTGGCGGAGATAATGAAAAACTCATTTCTCCAATGCAGGTGTTCATGATATGCAATACTATGGCTTTGATTTTTTTTCTCGAAAACGAAGCTGGATATGAAGGACATGCAAGAAACCAAAAAGTTGTATTTTGAGTTGCTCAATCTAAACAAAATAAAAATTCACCGAAAAAAGACAGTGGCGTACTTTTTTTTCACAATATTGTTGGCTGTGGTGCCCATTGAGACGTCAGTGGCCCCAATAATTTCAATCTAGATAGGGCTAAATAAGCGCCTTATTAGTTTAAATGAAAGTACCAAATTTCAACCAAATCGGTTCTAGGATATTCATGATATTTTATAATTACCGTTTTTTTTCTTCAATTTCAACGCCCTGTATCTCAGAAACGAAGCAACTCCGGACATATGTTAATAAGAACTTTTCATCCTAAAATGACCTAACGAATCACCACCTGCAGTTAGGAACCGTAGTTAGGAAACACCCTGTATATTGTGAGACTGATTACTCAATTACGAACTTGCAGCAAAAAAATCCTCAGATTAACCTTCAACGGCCTAGTTTACTCAATCGACATTGAAGTAAAATGCTCAATTTGTAACATACATGGAATCGAATCATTCCTGTTTTGTTGGTATGTCCAATTTATAGAGGCATACGGGAAAATGAACTTTTCGACCATCTGAATAATATTGAAGAAATCACTCGGCTTTTGAATTATGGAACACTTTTACAACTTAAAACAACTCAATGATGACCATTTTGAAAGTCAGGTCATTCATTATCAACTAATAAACGTAATGAAAAATATAGAAATTGTTATTCGAATTTTCTTTCCTGTTTGTTTTCCCACTACTTACAATTCATTGGTTCTTGAACTGATCAGCATATATTATGTATACCTTTTTTTTTCTCTCTCTTATTATTAGAATTTTGAGATATAGTATTATGGAAACAGATTGATGCAATTTTTCCGTTTCTTAAGTATTGTGATTCTTTTAATACAAAGAATGATCTATCTATCTATCTATCTGGATCTATCATTTTATTTGAATTGGATGTCATAATTCGTGAATAATTCTCATTATTGCTGGTCCCTAAATTGGTTGTACTACATTAGATTTCAAAGATCCATGACGTGAAACCATCGTTGAAATTTCAATCTTAGGGATAATTCATTGATTTTCACTTCGTTTTTTTTTCGCAGCCAAATCTGGCACTGCGTCAAACAGCCTGAAGAGGTTACCAATCTACACTTCAAGAACTGTAGCAGGTACGATCAAGAAATTCGACTTTTCCCCAACGACTCCGGAAAAATCTATAGTCCCTTCAACGAAGAAAAACTCGTTTTCAGAAAAATGTAATATATCCGAAAATAATAACAATAACCACGACGATTCGAAATCAGATAAGATGCTAAATGGCAACAAACATGTTTCAAGGGTTGATAGGATTTTAGAAAAACTATCTATAAATGACAATGTTATGTGTTCTGCTAGCACAACTGTAGCCACTGTAAGGTACAGAAGCCCTTCTCCTTCTATATTGAAGAAAGCTAGAGCAGTTACAGGTAAAAATAATTTAGACGGCGGACAAGAAATGATAGATTCGCCACCAAAATTCAATTCAATTAAAATATCTTGCCCGCAATCTCCTCTTGTAAATAAAAAAGACAAACCAAAAAGTGAGAGTTTCCAAAAAGCATCTGCCTTTTGGAGCTCTCCAAAAACTTAGATGAGGCAACGCACATTTTTGACTTTATTTTCGTGAATTTTAGTGTACATATATCAATTTATTTACTTATACCAAATTAGTGCCTTGATGAATATTGTTTTTAGATTTAGTGACAAAGTTTTATTATTGTGTTAAAACAGAACTGTTGTGTACTCTCCATTACATTTACATGTTATATTGTACCTACATATATTTACCTATATATTTATCTCTTTGATTTGATGAATAAAATATCCATTGTTCACTCCACTTTTATTTCATTAATAATTTTACATTCATTGAATTCATTTCGAAATCAATCTATTATCAATTAAAACAAGTGTTCATACAAAATAGGGGATGGGATGGGATGGGATGATCAAACTAAACTGCTCAACACATGAAACGTAAAATCGCATTTTTTTTTCGATTTATCCAACCGATTTTCAATTATTCTTCAGTTTCTGAAAGCTCGTTTCATTGACTATCGAACCTATAGATATTAATATTTCATCTTTTCCAGATGAGATTCTACATGATGATAATCAAAGCTGTGCATTTTTCCAAAAATTTCAAACGCCTCCCGTTTGAAAGAAAAAAATTTTCAATTTTTTTTTGGGTCAAAAACATATTGCTCCATATGTTCTCTCGATACTGTAAACAAATTTTCGGAATAGTTACATGCATTGCTGAAATATGAATGTTTTATTAAGATAATGCATAATTTGATGCTTTAATTTCTATTGTATTTGTGTTCCTGTCAATCTGATTCGAACGGTGGTCAAAAATCTTGGAATATGATGCATGATCAACCTATTTTTATATACAGGGTGGTCCAACTTCTTGATGAATGTCAAAAGCACCCAAAAGCAAGGATTAATGTGTTATTGAATTTTTATACTTTTCATGTTCACTTCAATGGTAAATTCAATCAAACGTGAGAGTGATGTGATTTGAACAGGTGTTATTGATGAAGAGTCATGGAACTGGAACATTTTGAATGTGATGGAGTTCAATATGAAAAATTCATGTTTTTTCTGAGTCAGGACATCACATATCCATGTGACTCACCACTCTCCCATTTTTTTGAATTTTGACAAATGTTCAATATAAGTCATTTGTCAGTTAATCTGCTGCAATTGTGATGAATTCTATCAGTTGCATGGTATGGCTTGGCAGCAACTTTTTTTATTCAGACGACATCCTGTATATTCCTTCAGTCTATCTCATTTGCCTTGAAATTATCTTCTGAAAATCTCTCACAAAGTGAGAACGACGCTCTGAAAATCCGGTTTTTCTAACAAATCCAGTATTTTGATCTTGCAATAAATTCTATAGCAACTTGACATGGTGATGACAAACTCTCCTACACGCTTTGATCGACAGAAAACTTAACAATCGGTTTCCTTCTCCGAAATTTTCTTGCTCGTCAAAACAAGATTTTTTGTTTGAGGACCACCCTTTATATAAGAATAGGTTGATCATGGATCATTTCGAGATTTTTGATCACCATTCGAACCAGATTGACAGGAACACAAAGCCAATAGGAATTAGAGCATCAAATTATGCATTATCTTAATAAAACATTCATATTCCAGTAACGCGTGTGACAATTCCAAAATTCATTTCACAGTATCGAGAAAACATATGAAGCAATATGTTTTTGACCCCAAAAAAAAATTGAAAATGTTTTCTTCCAAACGGGAGGGTGTTTGAAATTTTTGGAAAAATGCACAGCTTTGATTATCATTCTGTAGAATCTCATCCGAAAATCATGAAATAGTCATATCCATAGGTTCGATAGTCAATGAAACGAGCTTTCAGAAACTGAAAAATAATTGAAAATCGCTTGAGGAAATCGAAAGTTATGATGATTCAAATTTGATAGAAAAATATGCGATTTCACGTTTATTCTGTACCTGACTCTCAACGCTGAAAGATTGTAAATCTTCCTGCTTGAGAAAAATTGTAATCTTCACATTCACGCTGAGAACACACTTTTAGTTTTTTGGTCGTAAGTCCAGCTTATCATACTGAGTATTCTTATCATGATGCCTCAAATTTGAGACACAAAACAATCCTTTCAGTTTGCACACATTGCCCAAAATGATCCCGATCCAAATGGCTCCAACGAACCAAAATATACAGTACGAAAAACACCTAGTAACGTATTTGCACGACTTAGCACTAACTTCATCTGCCTCGGTATCTTCAGAACCATTTCTCATCTTCAAAAACTTCTCTTTCTGAACTACACTCGCGTTGTATCGATTCTCAAGGCAAAATGTTTGTACTAATGTGGGGTTCATGATGTCGATCCATTTTGGGTGGGTACAATCCCATGGGTTACTGTCTATTATCAAATAAAAGTTGTTGTTACCTTCCAACTTCTTGACTAGACTTAGGGGCAGATACTCTAACCTGTTATTCGAAATATTCAATATCGTCATTAGTGGAAATGAAGAAGCATTGAAGTCTGTTAGATCTTGCAGAAGATTATTCGACAAATCCAATTGATACAAGACATTATCACTCGCGAATACTCCAAAACTGAAGTTATGGAGCCAGTTGTCATTCAAGTATAAGTTTCTCAACGAGAAGAGTTCCGAGAAAGCGGCTTCTTCAATATTTTCAGCTTGAACTTGTAGCCTGAGGGTGTGAAGCTGCTGGTACTTCCCAAACATTGCTCTGTCAACCAAAGGTACTATACTATCACTCACAGTCAAGTCTACGACATCTGCAGAACTGATGATAACTTCCAAGCTTTCACGTAAGTCATTTTGCTTCATGTAGTGGCAGTCTATCTTCTTGTTCTTCATGAAACACGAGTACTTTGAGAGAACTGTACTGATTGGTCCACAGATTATAAATAATATCCAAAGCTGGTACATGTTCTTCATCCTTCGATAAATACGGTTCGACTAGAATTGGCTTTATGACATATCCTAGAATTAACTATTATACTTATACTTTTATCTTGTATGAAAATCCTTGCTCAAATACTTACTTGATCATAAAATGATAAGAAGAAGCATTTACAATATCGATTATTGATAGTAAATTGATATCCAATGAGTGTTGGGTAGGTACAGTAGTTACAGTACAGGTACAGTGAGGATATGCTAACATCATTTGACAGGCAATGTCTGAATAGATGTTCTGTCACAGGGTTAGACGTAAGCCCGGAAACAGTCAAATATCTCAAGAACTGATAATAAGAATTCATTCTTAGAAAATTCTGAGTCTGGTAAACAGGGTGTCCCCGAAAGGTCTGTACAAAATGATACCATAGTTTCTCTCTCTATGTGAGTTATGACTCACCCTTTATATAAAAATTAATCCCTATTCGCCTTGGTCACGCCACAGAATACCCAACACGCCATCATGCGTGAACGGCTGGACCGATTTTACTAATTCTTTTTTTGTTGTGTTTTTTATTGTCAGTATGAAAAAAAAACTAAGAAATTCAATATGGCGACGAGTTTTGTAATTATGATCCGATTCTATCCAAATTGTGTATCTTGAGGTTTTCGGGGTAGGAGATTATGATTCTTTCGTCAAAATGGGAAAATTGAAAATGGCGGATCCAATATGGCGGACGAGTTTTGTAATTATGATCCGATTCTATTCAGAATTGGTATCTGGGAATTTTTGGGGTCGGAGATTATGATTCTTTCCTGAAAATATGAAAATTCAAGATGGCGGATCCAATATGGTGAACGAGTTTTCTAATTATGATCCGATTCTATTCCAAAATTTGTATCTGGTGGTTTTCGGGGAAGGTGATTATGATTCCTGCGTCATGATTAGAACAGCCAAGATAGCGGATTCAATATGTTTTGAAAAACTAATGAATCACGCTTTTATAGATAGCCAAACTAAAAAGAAGTAGAAAACAAATAGTAATTTGGAAAACTGAAGAGATAGATTACCGAACTGAGAAGAAGTAAAAAATAAATAGTATAGTTTGAAAAATTAAGAAATGGTTTATGGTTAGTCAAACTAAAAAGAAGTAGAACACAAAATAATAGAAGATTTGTTGTTAAATATTTGACTAGAAAACTATTTTCTAGAAATAATGTATATATAGCAAAACAACGTTTGCCAGGTCAGCTAGTAATTTAATAATTCTGAAGAGTATCAGGTATGCATCAAATTGAATTTGGTCAATGGGCTTACATCACAAAAAAATTTCATTTCATAATTCGATAGAACTCGCCCAAACTAGCTCACCACCGCAAACCGTTTCTTGCTGTGAGCTCCCTACGTTTTATAAAAAATTATTGAAATCCCCGATTTTTTGGACCTCTGAAAACGAGGGGATGATGTGATGTCAAAACTCTTATACAGAAACAAGACTATTCCAGACAGAGATGAATGATACATGATTTCTGACAGAGTGAATTAGCGCGAGATCACAGTTGAAAGAATTAATATATCAGTTGCCCCAGTCTCCGTCGGGCGTTTGGTATTTTCTTTTAACTATGGTGAGATGAGGTTTCTACGTCATAAGAAGGTCCGTTTTCAGAAGGTACTATTATTTATGTTCAAAAATAAAACAGTCCAGTAAATTTTTCGATCGAATTATGTCGTCAATCATTATTTATGTATAAAAGGATCATTATGAACATGGTTTGAGTTGAAAGTTCTACTAAGGTGTACACGCCCATTACCTTGCTGAAGAAAGTAAGGCATTGAATGAGGGAATAGGAAACAATATTGAGATCTGTTCAGTGGCGTTATCAGAAAAAGTTTTATCGATTTTTCTATCAACAGTACTCCAAATATGTATCAAAATGGTATTGAATGTTGTGAAGAAATACAAGAATAAAATTCAACTCCGACGCCTTGTAGCGTCTTAATCGATTGTTTTGGTTCAATCATCTCACTTTGGTATCAGGAGTCCATTGTATCATTTTGTACAGACAGAAAATAGCATAGCCAATTGTTGCAAAATTCTCCATTTCTTTTAAACCATATATTTTTCCATATTCGGTGAGTTATTTTCGATAGAACCACGAACATATGAGGAGAAAAATTATATTGTGAAATAGAGAAATATATCCGGGGTCATTTTATCGCGACTACACCTATGAGATAACCGAAAGTGATTCACTTAATAATTGTGAAGGGATATGTCATACAAATGAAATTTTGAGATAATAATATTTATATAACATATAATATATTTTCAATAGATCACACAGATACTATCAAACTATATGTACAAACATTTATTCTGACAGAAAGCATCCCATCAGTGCCATACAGCAGTTCTGTCCTTTCACAAAATAAAAAAACTCATTTCAGTGAAATAATTTCGTATACAGATTGTAAAAAATAATATCCACAAGATATTCGAAAAATTGAACGACAATGGCAAATAACGAGAGAACAGTAACTTCTTCCTACCCTTGAAACACAAAACATCCCACCGATATCTATGCAAGGATTCGTTCGAAAGAATATTGTTTTTTTTTCGAATTGTGCTTGAATTGTAGTCAGGTAACACCTCACCACCTACAGACCGGTTCCGGCCCTTTTAGCCGTTGATGCAGATTGTTCGGCAATGTCACCAGGTTACCTCGGCAATTTCAATAAGGGCTTGACACCGCTTCTAATGATTCTGTCTCCCTCTTATTCCTCTGTGTTCCTGATAATCTTTTTCCTGTTTTGAAATCATATTCTCATTACCACTCAAATTATTCTTTGTTGTGGCGCTACTATAGTGTCATTGAGAGATGAAAATGTAAATAGTAATTTTATGAATTCATGAAAGGATACAAGCCACCAGCAACAAATGACTATGAGATTTTCGAAATGAACATATTTATAATCACCCTGCGAAATGTTGAAAAAACTATTGAGAGTCCCTGAGATAGTCGATTGAACACTTACAGGACTCTTGCCCAACCCTGTATATAGTCATTTATGATTCGAACGATATGTAACTTGAGCAAATGAATATGACTGGTATATAAAAACATCGTCTTCATCTACTGATTTATAGTTGAATGATGAAAAACATGTAACAAATTGTAGTACTCAGATGGTACAAATATAAATGATGTGATTAAGAATGAAATATATCATAAATAATTCCCTAAATACATTAAAATAACTATATTATCGAATAACATTCTCTCTTCTTTTCAATTGTAGCCATATTCCTCCTTTGGCTCTAATAGTTGTTCTATATTTCATTTGATAACTATCATACCCCGGTTTCAAACTTAATTCAAACCTTCTAACAATAGCAGAAAGTACTGATTTCATTTCCAAATAGGCAAACTTATATCCTGGAAATAAAAGACATATATTAAAACCTATAATGAATTCAAAGAAGATTGAGATTACTAACCTATACAGTTCCTTGGTCCTAAACTAAATGGCAAAAAGGCATAAGGATGCATTTTCTCCAAATTTTCAGGTGAAAACCTGTCTGGGTTGAACTCCAGTGGATTTGGGAAAACGTGAGGAAGTCTGTGAGTGATGTAGGGCGAAATTAATAAATTGGTTCCTGAAGGGAACGTTTTTCCATCTGCAAAAAAAGACGAAGAAGATAAAATCAATATAAATGGTATGAACACAGCAACCGTCATATTTTTGATGTCAAAGATTCTATCATTCTGAATCATTCTATCTAGTAACATTTTCCAGTCACCTGAGAGAAAAGTTTTGAATTTTTCAATTTTCCATCTGGACGAATTGATCACCCTGAGCGGATTATTGAAATACGTTTTCCAAAAATGTATTCAATTTGACACTGAAGAATATGGAACAAGCATGAAATATTTACTGGAAATTTCATTATCCGAATTAAAACTTCATATTTTCAGCTCAAAATTCGGAATTTGATTTTTTCGACTTCAAACTTGAAATTCTCTATGTACTTATCAGTCGGAAAGTTCGAGTTTGAAGTGGGAAGTTTCTAGTTTTAACTGAAATTATAATTTTCCTTCATGTTCATACTTGAAATTCCATCTACAAAATCAAATGAATTTGATGTTTCTGAAGTTAGAAATGCCTAGTTTGAAGTAGGAAACCCGAACATTAAATAAAAAAGATTTGACTGGGATTAAAGAAATTTCATTTCCTATGAGCTACCAATGAGAAATTCAGAATACGCAGTTGTAAATCCTGGGTTTGTACAGAGTATTTAATTTTCAGATTACAAACCTGTCACTGTGAATTTAATTTTCCGAATTGAAACATGATATTTTCAACTGAAAATTCGAAATTTGCTTTTTTCGACGTCAAGCTTTAAATTCTCTACTTATCAGTCGGAAAATTCGAGTTTGCATTCGAAAGTTCCTAGTTTGAACTAGAAATGTAGTTTTCCTTCATGTTTAAACTTGCTCAAGGGTACGGGACCCTTTGGTTTTTTCCTGTTTGCAACCTTATATAGTTTTTATGAGTATCTTTGAATGCTCATCAAGTTTCCCTTCTGGGACTTGACATTTGATTCTATAAATGCCCGTTCTCAGGGCACGGAGCCCTTGATTTTTAATGAAAACCCATTTATTCTCAACCCCTCTTTTCACCGATATAACCATGATATTATGATGGTAGACATCGGGATCCAATTTAAAATACTGTTTCACTTCCATGTAAGTCAACTTTCGGTTTTTTATAATATGTATATTTTTGCATGTAGTAACTTCTAAAAACGGCTGAAGATGGACTTTTATAAGTCCGAAACATGTCCCCTTGATTGATTTACATCAGTAATAAAGTAGTGGAGATTACTTTCCTTCTTTCTTTTAAAAAATTCCACTCCACTCTGAGCAAACATGGACTTCTCCCAGAGATTGGAAATTCTGACTACAAAATCGACTATGTTTTTGGAGTTGAAAATTTCTAGTTTGAAGTAGGTAATCCGTGTAGGCATTTCTATTTATTTATTTTATTTTTTATTTATATACCATGTAACGTTTTTTTGTGAAACTTCTCCAAGCTCAATTTGCCAACTCGCCAAAGATTGGGAGGGGGGGTGGACCTTACCTAAAACAACTTCTTCTGTCAGTACTCTGGCCAAGATTGGGACGCTTGGTGCTAGCCGCAAAGTCTCTTTTATCACTTGTTCCAAGTATTTCATTTCGTTCAATTCTTTCATACCAGTTATAGTTCCAATGGTTCCTAATTCCTCAATAACTTTCTGTTGAATGTCTGGATATTTAGCGAGATAGAACAAGGAGAATGCTATTCCAGCGCCTACTGAATCTTGTCCCTAAAAAATCTTGATCTTGAATCAAATTTAAACGATAACTGAGAAAGCAATTTCCACTAATGGTCTGAATAGAGTATCTAAAGCCCTTTGAACTTACTGCTAACATGAAAGTCACTGTTTCGTTTATCAAATCTTCATCTGTGAATTCCTTGTTGTTGCTAGCTATTTCAACAAGCATATCCATTAAACATTTTTTGGAAAATGTATTCGTCGATCTTTTTTGTGAAAGTACCTACGAATGAAGAAAATACAATCAGCGAATACAATAGCGAAATGATGATGGAAGGACCTATTTTCAATTGAGTTTCGAAGAAGAAATCATACCAACATCGATTGAGAAAAATTCCTCCGTTTTCGTGATGTCTCAAATCACGAAGGCTATCAGCCTGTATACATGTTCATCAATTTGTTTTCTTCAATGAGTTGATTTTTTCGTACATGAAACCATCAAATTATTTTTTTTTTATAATTGAATGCAAGTTATATTATTCAAATCCTGAATAAGTTGTGACACATAATATTTCGAAAAATTTAAAAAAACACGAGCTTTGTTCACTTCAATATCCTATATTCAATTGAAATAGTTAGGAATTCAGTTGATCTATATGTGATGTGTACTCACTTTTTTCGTATACTCATGCAAACTTCTTTTTTGTTGTTGTTCTTTATCAGCTGATTCGGTTTGCTTGAAGATTTTCTCCAGAAGTAACCAAGGTCTCACTAATCTTGTTACTAAAAGTACCTCGCCCCTAAAATATGGAAATAATCAGTCCCCTTGTTCTACTACATTTCAGTTTAATTTTCATTACTGTCTATATGGTGAATCCTTATCCACAGGTATTCCTAGTACGGTATCTGAAAATATCACAAAAAACTTTGTGTTGGTATCGATCAAAATAAGAATGGTATGTGAAAAGAATTTCTGTTTAAATAGTCGATGTTGAATTTGATCCACCCTGTTTTTGTCTAAACGAATGATAGTTATCAACAATTATTTCTGATGAAGCTGTCAACTTACTGTGGAGAATGTCCAGAACGCAGTCATTAACGAAGGTGGAAATTTTTATATTAGTATCGGTAACTCCTTCTAATTTATCAACAAATCTTTCGGCTGAATTTTGGAATTCTTCGATGAACGTTTCCAAAATATTCACGTGGAAAAGCGGTTGTATCAGTCTTCGGTTCCGCTTCCATTTATCTCCTGCAAAAGTTGAAAATGATTAATGAAATCATGAAGTTTCTCTAGGTCATCACTTTTATTTTGGAAATCGCCTTCAATAATGACAAATTTCTGAATAAAAGCTAATTTTCACTAATATTTTCGTACTATTGTAGCACTAATATGACTAATAAATACAGTTCAAGATGGTTGGAAACATAATCTCTCTTACAAATCCACTAGTGAAAAAGATTCTGTACAAACAATGTTTGGACTCCGATACCAACTTCATTCAGCGCCCTAGGGCAATGAAGGAGTACAGCGGGCGATAAAGTAGTCTGGTGGAAGGTAAAGTAATTTCACTGTTTTTCCAGTAATCTCTAGTGGACTATTATTCGGCTTTCTTTGCCAGTGGTATACATAATTTGGCCAACTTCAAAGATGGAGCATCTAAGAGCATGCGATGTTTTTGTAAAATCTCACCATTATTCGTGATCAGTCCTTCACCAATGAAATTATGCAGAATGGAATAGAAAATGTTTTTTTCCGAATACTTGTTAGTGCCCAGAATGACTCTAAGATGACTGGGCTCGTAGATGAAAATTACTGGAAGAATCGAAACCCATATTCTCATGAAAGGTCCATGCCTTGCGTATACATGGGTACCAACCGCCTCCATTTCTGAAAAAAAACGAAAAGTTAAGTAAAAGTGAATTAATCTTACACTGATATCTGATTTTATTTTTGAAGAATGAAAATTATGGATGTAAATTACATAATTATATCCACAACGAATATTACAAATAGATCTATCTCAAGTCTGAATGAATACCATTTACTTTTGCAAACAGGAACAATATTCAGAAAATCATGATCTCCAATTTTTTCAAATATTTATCCAATTCAACGATATGGAAACATAGTGTAATTTCGAAAAAACGATGGGACGCTACTTAATCCCATTTGATAGAGGAAGAAATATCCTTCGCCATAATTTCAAATGTCTGGGATATTGCGCTGAAGTTACGATTCAATTTTGCAAACAAAAACAATAGTCAAAAAATCATGATCTCCAATTTTTTGTAATCCTTGGGGACCGGTCAGTTGGACCACGAGTACCTGCATTAATCCTTTTTTGAAAAAGGTCGAGTTAAGCCCACCCTGCAGTTCGACCAGGTAAACATTTTATTTTCTAATCGATTTAATAGAATTCGCGTTCAAACGTTCTAGTAAGCATATCCTTCATAAGTATCTAGAATTTAGTTTTTCTACAAAGGTCACAAAATGACAAGGTTCGCGCATTGATAACAAATTGCGATGTGACACTTTTTTGTACAAATTTTTTTCTACAATTATTCACTGTTCATGCTTTTGAAAATGGCTATTATATACCTGTTGCGTTGCATTTTGCTTGTTACCAAACAAGAACAGCTCAAGTTATTTGAAATTATTTCAACTGTTAAATGAAAAATGTAAAACTTTGGATCTGATATTTGAACCTTCAACAGTCATTGTTGATTTTGAATAGGCAATTTATAACGCTTGTTCAATAATGTGGCCGAATATAAAAATTATAGGATGTAGATTCATTCCATTTGTGCCAATAATTTTTTAGGCTTCCATTTTAAGACCGTAATGAAGTAGGAAACAAACGCGTGTGAATCATTTCATTCTCATTATAATTCTAATTTTTATAGTTCTCACCCAAGTTTATTTAATTTTGTAAATATCTTAATAAACTTTCAAGCAGAAACATATATTGAAATAAATTCCGTAAAAACGTTCCACCAAAAAACTAAAAAGTGCAACACAGAAAAAAAATGATTTTATTGAAGCTAAGATATCAGAATATAGAAATGGCCTTTTATCACAAAAATATTTTGTAAAAATTATGTCTTATTATAATTCACCTCAATGATAAAGAAAATAGTGATTGTTTTAATTTTTAGAATACAACCTTAATCCGCTCGAAGAGCGGTCGTGGTCCAACTGATCGGTGTACTTAAAACAGGTACCTGGCCAGTGGAGGAACTGTCCGACTCCCTTATATTCATATATCTGCGCTAGTCCATTTTGATGAAGGAGGAAATATCCTTCACCAAAATTTCAAATTTTCGGGACATTGCCATAAAGTTTCAAAAATATGGATGTTTGTGAAAAAGGTGAGTTGTAGATGAAAGCAAATGAAGTATTAATGTTGAAAGAGTTTGATTCAGGGTAAGTGAATTTTTTCAGATTTCCATTCAATCAAATATGTGCCTTTTTTTATTTCTTGGTCATATATGAAAACAAGTCTATGACGGTTCCACCAGAATTCGAATTATCTGGTATTCCGATTTCGACTCCCGCTCAAATTCTGTTCCAAAATTTGATGGCTTTTCGACTCGAAGTGTCCAGAAACATTATTGATTTCTTTGGAAAATGGAGTTGTAGATAGAATCTTATGAAGTATTTCTGTTTTAAAAGTTTAATTTCGGGCTAGTAAATCTTCCAGACTATTTTTCATCTTTCTTCATATACAGGGTGTATCAAAGTCGTGGTGACGAAACCCTAGGGGATATTTCTCTCAACGAAATATGACAAAAATTTCATATATGAACGTGGATCCCAGAGCCGGATTTAGAGGTCTGGAGCAACAAATGAGTGGAGTGGATAAAATTAACAAATTTCTCGTTCAATGATTTTTTGCGAATTATTTTAACATATACAGGGTGTTTCTTAAGTACGTGTGAAAATTTCAGGAGCATGTTGCTGACGTTTAAATAGGTAAGTTGATATGTATAAGCATATGTTCGCAACTTATTCATTCTGAGATACGAGTGTCAAATTCTGATTGTTAATTCGGTTTCTTGTGAATGAATTCCAAAATAATCTTGATATTCGGGTGAGTAACAAAATTCCACTCTAATATATCACGTTCATTTCTGAATTTACTCACAAAAACAGGAAAAAATATCAAACTTTGACACTTAGAACATATGTTTCTCATTTTGACGTTAGCAAAATGCTCCTGTAATTTTTACGCATACTTAAGGAACACCCAGTGATAATATTATCACAAACAAGAATTATCTGAAAAAAGGTTTTGTCCCATCGAAGTTTCAAGCCTATTTTTCATAATTTTCATTTTCGAAAATGAGCGTTTCTGAAGTGCAATTCGATGTTATCAAAACAATTACATCCCCAGTGCAATTTCAATGTTTGGGAATGTAATTCTTGCACTTTCATCTTCAAGAATTTCGTATCGAAATACCTCACTAGATTGGTTTTTACCATAACCCACCCTATGAGGCTACGGACAAGTATTGCCCCACTCAGCCATTGGGATACTCTATCAAGATGGGTAGTAAATGGTAACAACTGCTTATCATGGCCATTTTGACAAATTGATATTCTCAGATTGGAGTGAACAAATGAGATTAAATTATTTTTCAATATTTGAGAATGATGTATTCATGTTTCTACGAAGTACTAATGGTAAAATAACGAAGTTAACTTTTCCATACAAAATATTGAAGGAAAACTTGTTCACTAGTGATTACCCGTCGAAAGTCGAAGGATTTTGTTTTCTATTGTGGGGGCTTCTTTTTTGTGGAGGCCACAGGGCTGTAGCCCCGGATGACCACCCCTTAATCCGGCACTGATGGGTCCGAGATTGTTTTATTTCAGAGATACGTCCAAGTTATAAAAAAATGAGTTTTTCATTAATATCTCGTAAACGTTCAAGCCGATGTGAATGAAATTTCTATGGTTCATTGATACAATTATTTAACAATTACTGGACCAATTAGATTTGATCCAGAATTTCCAGGGGCGTACCCATCGAGCAAGTCGGCTTTTTTGTAGAAATAAAAGACACTCTTATTAATTCTACGTAAATATCCAAATGAATCCATGCACTGAAAATATAACACATCTGTCGATCTGTCTCCTGCGCTTTTTCGTATCATGCTTCGTTTTGGAGAAAAACGAACCATACCATACCTCGGCGAATTTTATTTCTCCTCTGTTCTCATGAATAATATGTGCAATAAATTTCTGGATAATATATATCTAAGCGTTTTTAGTTTTCTTTATGGAGATCTGCGATATGCCGAGGTATGATGTCCGTTTTTTTTCGACAACGAACAGAACAGAGGGTTCATTTGATTATTGAGGAAGAACTCAAAAAAACAGGGTGATTTTTTTTTCTATAAAAAAACCTGACATGCTCGATGGATAGGTATATGCCCTTGGGAATTCTTGATCAATTCTAAATGGTCCAGTAAATGTCTGATAATTGTGTGAACTGTAAATAAACCATAGACATTACATTCAAATCGGCTTTTTCATATTTTGTTGCGAGGCATCTCCCCTAGGCTTTTATCACCACAACTCTGAAACACCCTATATAAAAACAAATCTATGACGTTTCCATCAAAATTCAGCATTTTGGTGGTTTGTCGACTTGAAAAACAAATTGGCCACGCCCCGAAGGCGGAAAGACGCAGGTCCCATCGTTGCGAAGTTACGTTGAAGAGTTCGTAGATTCGATTGTATTTCCCATTTTGGTATTCTACAGATTTCCAAGCTTGTGAAAATGAATATCGTGAATAATCTCCAAATGTTTCTTTCTTTGGGTAAAGTAGTTACAGTATATAGGTATAAGTATAACATTATTCTTATTGGGTTCGCATGGTACAATTTGCTTACCTTCTTCATCCTTCAGTAATAAAACATTTCCCAGAAATGGAACAGCTTTTGGGCCATCTAATTTGAAAGCCAAATAAACAGTTCTTATGTAGTTGATGAAGAATTGAAAAAATGATACTATTGCCGATGTGAAAAATCCTAAGTAGGCCATCATACTGAAACAGAAGAGATAACATTCAAATTGATCATATTTAGAAGATTAGTATCGTTTATTAATAAACGTTATACAATGCAGTTACTGGATTCTGCAAAAAAAGCATCTGTCATTCAATAGAACAAATATTCAACCAAAAGCTGTCTCAAATGATACCGTTCTATATCATATCAACAAAAAATAGATTCAGATTGTTATATTACATGAGTGTCTAACTTTAAACGGCCTCCCCTCTATATCTTAGCTATTAATCGTACTATTCTTGCTAAATTGGGACTGGTTATGGATAACCATGGATAACTAACGATATGATCACTTTTTCAGAGACAAACATCATTTTGGATAGTGCCGTGCGTATTTATTGAAATAATAAGGAGTCGATTTTTCATGTACTTAATCATATTGAGCATTTTTTCAAGGAAAAACCCCAATATAATGTGAATTTTTCATGTGATTTCCATGCTTTCGACAACACGAGCACATCTAAACAGAATTCAACAGAAAAAAAGTGTATCTTGTTATATTTCTTCCAAAACATAATTTTTTACCTACCTAAGCCATCGAACGTTCCAACATTTGCTATTATGTATAATTTTTTACATAATTTGGTATAATATGAATTCATTAATTTTTCGAGGCGAAAAATTTAAAAATGAACATGAATATCTTCTGAAGTTGAGAATTCGTATTCTCCTTCAGATGAAAATATGTATATACACATAATATCATTCTGAATATTCAACAGAAAACAACAACTTTCCTGCCTATTTGCCACGTCGAACATCGAAGTATCAAGGAGGGTTTGATATCCGAAATGAGTTCATTCGAATAAAGTCATATCACCTGTTTTTGAGAGATAATTCATATATCACTGATACGAATGATTTTTTTTTTTGAAGTTTCAAGCTCATCAAGATCAGAGTTTATGCCTACAAGCATACTTTTCCTATACATTTCAATTTTCATTTCAATACTGAACATATTGGTAAGTTAATAACATCATATCATTCATCAGATTTGAGAGAAAATGTCAATTCCCAATTTCAGAGGTTTTTTATTTTTCATGCTCTTCTTTTGGATGTTCAACAGAAATAATCAAATGTTCGACGTGGCAAATAGCCAGGAAAGTAGTTGTTTGCTGTTGAATAAACCGAGAAAGAATTGATATTTTCATCACATAGAGAATGCGAATTCGCAATGTATTTCTTCATTTATACAGGGTGGCATATTGAAATACGTGCAAATATTTCAGACACTGAGAAAGCTCGACGTGTACTTTCGAATGTCACTAATGAAAAAAAAAAATAGAGATCAAAATAAAATTTGAGGTTAGACCCTGTTTCCCACCCAAAGTTCTATACTGTAGCAAATCTGACGTCACCTCTGTTCAAATTTCCATGCTGTAGGCACAATCAAGCGGAGTTCAATCATTTAAATTGTTTTAAAGGGGCGTACTCGATTTTTTTCTCGTATTCTGTTCAATTTTTGGGATGGAATTTCTCGTTAATTAGAATTTAAAAAATCTGATATCATGGAAATATTCCTTAGACTGTATCATATTATAATGTGCTGAATATGTGCACTTATTTCAAAAACACCTTGTATATATCCATTTTTTCATGTTCATAATTTGTCTGAGGATATTGCTCTTCAATACATTCACCCAATCAAGGGGTTCAAGTTTGAACGATGGAAACTTTCTATTTCATAGACCTTTTAATCGTAGAGATTCGTGATTAGGTTTTCTCAATTTAGAATTTCTCTCCACCTCCTGTATGATGGATATCAATTTGTCATACATCTAAAAACTATGGAGTTAGCCTAATATGATTCCGTAAAAAATAGACTCTTTTCATTTAAGATTTGAAGAATCGCACGACTAATATAGCTAAGATACAGAGAGAGCGGTCGGTTGAAGTGAGACACGCTGTATATCGTAATACGATAATAATTTTTTTCTCATATAAATGCCAATCCAAATGTGTAATAATATACTGGGTGTTCGATTGAGAAAAAAAAACTTTCTCAGAAGAAAGATTTGCATGTTTGTTTGTTTGCTTGTTTGTCTGTTTGCTTGTATTGAATTGTCTCGAAACTACTTGAGTGATTCGGAAAATTCTTCTACCCATAGAGGCCAACATTATTTCTGATAAACATAGGCTACTTATTATCGCGGGAAAATGCCCCATTCCAACGGGAAAAAAGTAATAGGACAACGGGTAGTGAGAATTATCCTTCCGTACTTCCGTTTATCTTTTTCACATAACTCTCTCGCTCTCGGTAATATATCTAATAATTCTGGAATAACCTTTATATAGATTGTATCAATAATTGATGTGTTCATTATACTATTATGTAGGTAGTTATTTCAAAATCGCCTTGTATATGTTCCATAGAGTTTGAATAAAAAATGATTCGCCGTTGAGTGAAACAAAAATTCGTTGCACACCACCATCATGCAGACTTTGTCTATAATGATGTAGGTTGATGAGGTTTTTCTCTATGAAATAATATCTTCAATCCAAATTACTCACCAGAATGAATATATGGATGAAACTGCGTTCAAGTAGGTAATCTCTGAATTAAAATGTATATACTTCAAATAACTGCACAGTTTCTCTGTTTGAAATAACCACTAAATTACACAGATATTTTATGCGAAATAGGTACTTAAATTGGTCTTGAACATTATTATTATCCGACAGCAAACTATAACAACTAACTTCGATGCGATAATATTTCTTTACATCAATTAAAACAAAGCAATAAGTAACACTGAACGTGATTCGAATATTTTTCATAAATGTTCATTTCAATGAGATTTACATAAAAAAGTCGTATTGGATGATACTTTTGATGCAAACATGTTACCGTCGCGTTCAATCCTTTTCCTTCCTGAAGTCTGCTGATGATATAAACGATAGTCAGTTCAGAGGAAAACAAAACGAAAATATATTCCTAATGAAAGAACTAAATCAAATTATAAGGATTATCCCATTGAATTTTTCGAAAATGTTATACCTACAACTATAATGGATCTTTGGTTTAACGACTTATACCTGGTAGGAGGTGCGATAGATAATGAGATTTTGAACATATTCAACCAAATATATATAGTATATGATACAAAGTGTTACGCTTTTCGAGAAATCATCACTTATTATAAATTCGAATAATATTAATTTAGATGTTACAAACGATCGATCGTATTCAACTCTTTCAAAAGAATACAATGGGGTAAAATGTTTGACAAAACGATGATATCTCGAAATTCGTAACACTTTGTATAATAGTGTATAATTATGGTCAAATATGGTCGTAATCTTATTACTTATCACCCCCCCTTTCAGATATACGTCGGTGAACCAAACACCCTGTATATAATTAATAACAGCTCATCATTTCTTTAAAATTTGCATATAGGTACTAATAATTAAGGAGATTTTATAAAAGTTATATGAATGCGAGAGTCGTTATTTCAGTCTTTCATTCCTGATGAAACCAGTTCCTTCAGTAGGATATAAATTATTGATGGGAATATTGATCCTGCAGCCTCTACAGTGTTTCCAAAATTGGAGCGATTGATAAAATATGGATTATGGAGGGCAAAAATACCAAACCAAATAAGAGCGAATTTTAGTCGAAAAAAAAATTATTGAAAAATTTTATTTCATAGTTTGTCTGGAAATTTTGTGAAGCATTCATCGAATAATATGTTGATGAACGAACCCAAGCGCTTATTGCTTTTAGCGCTGATTGAAGCTTGATTGGAGCACCTGTTTTAATGACATTCTCAATCTTGTCGAACGTAATAGTTTTGAAAATATGTGGTCTACACAAAAGCGTACAGTTTTTAAAATATTTTCAGAATTTTCTTCCAGTAATAACTCATGTGTCATGTCTAAGTGAATATTTTGAAGATTGTGATTGACTATATAATCAAATACAAAATATACCCAAAATACTACAATAATATTTAGAAGAGCCTGAGAGTATGTACCTTTCGACATGCAATCATACACCCTTGAGTGAGCTAATTTTTATTCTATTTATTTGTTGATTGTGGTATTTTAGGTAGATATAGGTACAATTCTAGTATAGCCGGGTATTTTTTATTAGTACTCATTTTTCCAATTAACACTCGATATTGAACTCCATATAATAAAACGTATCCTTGTTTGAGTAGGAAAGTTGTACTAATTATTTAATAATTATTTACTTCTTCTGTATGTGAAAAACATCAACCTGCAGGACATCCTGTATATTACATATTATTATTTTTTGAACAGATATCTTAAAGTGGTTTCAAGAAATATATTTGAAAAAGTTAATTTCTTTTTGAGAGCAGTGTATTCGATTATTTTCTCACAAGTCTCAATAAAATGATGGTGCGTGCATGCAGTATGCAACCAATTTTGCATTTCTACATCTTCTTCCTTGCTTAAAGATCGTCTGTCATGTAGCGATGAACGCCAACGCCAAACAGGTTCTTGCCAGTGAACGCCATGCTGTCATCTGGACGTAAGAATATAAGACGATCAAAAGGATGAATAAAGATTAACAAGAATAATAAGAAGAGTGAACTTTAACCAAAAGAGATGATTTTGTTTTCTTCAGATCAGGATCTATTTTATTTTAGATTTTTTATTCAAGACACAGAATTTTCGAATTTTGTGCTAGAGGCTTGAGGTGTCTAGAGTGTTTTTTGTGGTCTCATCATGCCTCAAGGAAGAAAGAAAACTCCATTTAGTGGAAAAGCTAAGAAAGAACAACTCAAAGCAAAGAAACAGTCCAGAGGACAAGGTAAGAATGTTGTCAGACTATGAGCCGGTATGAACTATTAAGTGTACCTATTTTATGATTATTCCCTATTTATTTCGTAGGTGGCAGAAATCCTGTTCTCTTGAAAAATCCCAAAGATGCAGAAGGCTCTAGCAATATACAAAAAATCAATTTTCAGCCCACCAAAGATGGTAGGTCCAGACCAAACCGATATGCATTACAATTTTTCAGAGAGAGTAATGAGGAAAAGGCTAGACAAAAAGAAATTGCTCGTCACAGCTTAGAGCCTAAAGATGAAAAAGATTTAGAAATAGATGGAGATCAGTTCTTTGAGAAAGTTTTAGATTTCCCTAAAAGACCTCCCTGGAATTTTGAATTAGGAAAAGATGAATTGGAATCACAAGAAAATAGATATTTCACTGTGAGTAGAGTAAAACCAAGAAAAACTAAAATTAATTAGCCATCCTTTTTTCTCTGTACAGGGATATCTTAATGAAATTGAGAAGAATTATGATTGGAAAGAGTTGAGCCTGTTTGAATTGAATCTAGAAACTTGGAGACAGTTATGGAGAGTTCTAGAAATGTCTGATATCATTCTGTTCATTGTGGATATTAGATTCTCTGTAAGTAGGTACATATTAAAATCTTTGTGTCATTTTGAATAATCATTTAACTCATTCTTGTAGGCCATTATGTTTCCACCATCTCTTTATGAATATGTCACCAAAACATTGAAGAAAGATTTCATACTAGTATTAAATAAAATAGATTTGGCACCAGCAAGTTTGGTAGTAGCATGGAAACATTATTTCCAAAACAAATATCCAAACTTACACATTGTAATGTTCACTACAGTGCCTGGATACAATTTAGTTGGAAAACAATCTGATAAAGCAGGTGAGTGCTTTCAATTATTTCAATGAAATTAAAATCACTTCCTGGATTACTTCCTATATTAGGAATTAACACAATTATTACTCCAAGGGCTATTCAAATAATTTATTTCATGGCATTTAACTCATCTGGATTAGACACCAAGTGTACACATATTGGACATAGTGGTTCACCCCATGCATTTAACTACTGTCTGAAGAATTTCTAGAAGTCAATCAGCAGTTTAATGTTCCTGGGTTCATACATTTTTCCCCTTTATTTTTTCAAAAACTTCAAATACAACTGATGATGTACAGTATGCAGATTCAGTATTGTTATAAAACTTGGAAAGTAACTGCTAAAACAGGCAGCTATTGATGAATTCTGAGATAGGAGTGAAGGCTATTTGTCCAAAAATGTGACAACAGGGATTATCTATAAATCTAAGTTTTATTACTTCAAAGGCTATTCAAATAATTCATTTCATAGCATTTAACTCATCTGGATTGGACACCAAGTGTACACATATTGGACATAGTGGTTCACCACATGCATTCAACTACTGTCTGAAGAATTTCTAGAAGTCAATCAGCAGTTTAATGTTCATACCTGGGTTCATACATATTTCCTTCTTTTTTTTCCCAAAAATTTTAAATACAACTGATGATGTACTGTACAGTATGCAGATTCAGTATTGTTATAAAACTTGGAAGCTAAAACAGGGAGCTATTGATGAATTCTGAGATAGAAGTGAAGGCTATTTGTCCAAAAATGTTACAACAGGAATTATCTAAAAATCTAAGTTTTATTACTTCAAGGGCTATTCAAATAATTTATTTCATAGCATTTAACTCATCTGGATTGGACACCAAGTGTACACATATTGGAAATAGTGGTTCACCCCATGCATTTAACTACTGTCTGAAGAATTTCTAGAAGTCAATCAGCAGACATATTTTCCCTTTCATTTTTTCAAAAATTTTGAATACAACTGATGATGCACAGTATGCAAATTCAGTATTATTATAAAACTTGGAACTTGGAAGGTAACTGCTAAAACAGGCAGCTATTCATGAATTCTGAGATAGAAGTGAAGGCTATTTGTCCAAAAATGTGACAACAGGGATTATCTCTAAATCTAAGTTTTATCACTTCAAGGGCTATTCAAATAATTCATTTCATAGCATTTAACTCATCTATATTGGACACCAAGTGTACACATATTGGACATAGTGGTTCACACCATGCATTTAAATACTGCCTGAAGAATTTCTAGAAGTCAATCAGCAGTTACCTGGGTTCATACATATTTCCTTCTTTATTTTTTCAAAAATTTTGAATACAACTGATGATGTACAGTATGCATATTCAGTATTGTTATAAAACTTGGAAGCTAAAACAGGAAGCTATTGATGAATTCTGAGATAGAAGTAAGGGCTATTTGTCCAAAAATGTTACAACAGGGAGTATCTATAAATCTAAGTTTTATTACTTCAAGGGCTATTCAAATAATTTATTTCATAGCATTTAACTCATCTGGATTGGACACCAAGTGTACACATATTGGACATAGTGGTTCATCCAATGCATTTAAATACTGTCTGAAGAATTTCTAGAAGTCAATCAGCAGTTTAATATTCATACCTGGGTTCATACATATTTCCCCTTTATTTTTTCAAAAATTTCAAATACAACTGATGATGCACAGTATGCAAATTCAGTATTATTATAAAAATTGGAACTTGGAAGGTAACTGCTAAAACAGGCAGCTATTTATGAATTCTGGGATAGAAGTGAAGGCTATATGTCCAAAAATGTGACAACAGGGATTATCTATAAATCTAAGTTTCATTACTCCAAGGGCTATTCAAATAATTCATTTCATAGCATTTAGCTCATGTGGATTGGACACCAAGTGTACACATATTGGACATAGTGGTTCACCACATGAATTCAACTACTGTCTGAAGAATTTCTAGAAGTCAATCAGCAGTTTAATGTTCATACCTGGGTTCATACATATTTCCTTCTTTATTTTTTCAAAAATTTCGAATACAACTGATGATGTACATTATGCATATTCAGTATTATTATGAACCTTGGAAGGTAACTGCTAAACCAGGCAGCTATTGATGAATTCTGAGATAGAAGTGAAGGCTATTTGTCCAAAAATGTGACAACAGGGATTATCTATGAATCTAAGTTTTATAAGAAATTTTCATAATGTTATTGAGTTAATTAATTTATAAAATATGTATTATTATTCAATTCACAGTAATCAATCTTGATTTGAAATTTAGATACAATTAATTATTTGATGACTAATTAAATGAAATTGTGGTACTTACCTACCTATATTGTAGATTCAAGATTTGTTCAAGTTGAAAATGGTTCTATATTATTTTCAAATCATTAATCTTCATAGATTATCTCAGTTAGTAGAGAAACTAGATAGTGGAGTGAAATAAAATTCAAAAATGACAATGTCATATGATAAATGAAGTGAACATCTATCACTTTGCTCCATTTTTTAACCACCTGTTGATGTTATAAAAGTTGTGCGTAGATATTTTTTTCTGGTAAAAAAGTACCTTCCTAGATGATCATGAAGTGTATTACCATGAACTATATTTTCCTGTTTACATTATTATGTGATAGTTTGAAATACATAATAAATCAAATAATTATCAATCGCAGTTTTCCTTTGAAGGTCCTAAGTTGCATGTTACATGAATGAAAAACGGGTTTTCATATCAGGTAGATATTAAACATACCATGCATCCTTATAATTATGTCAAATTATGATTATTAATTGGAACTTCTGCTGAGCAATAGGTATCAAAATTTAAATATGTTTACACCTAGATATCCCTGAATAAGCAGTTATTGGAAATTTCAAATTATTACCCTTGGTGAGAAATTGTGATCTTGAAATTTCGATGAAGGGTATATTCGTTTTTTTTTTCCTTGAAAAGGAAAGCATTTTCTTTTTGTCAAACTCTACACTTTGAAGTTCTCAATATCATCGGTTATACAGAGAAAATTCGTAAACATGAAAGTTATAACAGTTCTTTTTTTTCGGAATAGTCGATATCTCCTGATTTGATTTGATTTGATTTAAAGTAGAAACATTATTTCACTAAAACAGGATGAAAAACGGTAAAATCTTATTTGTGCCCAATTTTAATCCATGAATAAGTATGGTCGGTATTCTGAATACCACTATATTTGATTACCATAACAGGTGTAATTTTTTATGTTTTTATGTCCTTATAAAAACGTTATGAGAATTTGAATTGCATGATTTATAGCAATGTATGAACAGAGTAGGCCAAGCCAAACATTGAATTGGGCTATTTGGGGTAATCACAAACAGGGCAATTGCAAAACACGTTCAATATCATTTAAATTTTCACTGATTGTTTCTGCTGACGGTCAAGCTATAGTGATTTATTATACAAAAAGTAGTATATTTTAGCTAGTGATCGACCGATATGACTTTTTTAGCCGATACTGATAATGTCTTGGCCGATAACGGTATATATCGGCATATCGGCCTTTTTTAATTGATAACATTCATTATTATTTATTGTTGTCTAAAATCTCTAAAATCTGATTACTGAAAACTTTAGAAACATCCTCTTCTTGAAAGAAAAGCCGATCCCATTTCTTGGTGGCAAGTAAAAAGAGAAGTTCTACCATTATTATATAATCAAGCTCTTATATATTTATCTGCACCAGTTGGCAGTGTTGCAAGTGTGCAAATGTTTTCAGAAGCTGGAACCGTAAATTCGTTGAAAAGGAATCTACTGAATCCAGAAACAACCGATAAACTTATTTTTTTACATGATAATTTGCCAAAACTACAGTATTCATATTAAATGCCTATTTCATGTTATATCTACCATAATTTCTTAAGATTACCTTATTTCAAATATTACTTTGAATTTAAATATAAAAAAAATGTTTCAAGCTGCTATGGTTGTCTTTATTTAAACATCGGCCGATATACCCGATATAGCCGATATATTCTCACATCTATCGGCCGATAGCGATAATCGGCCCTCGGCCGATATAGCTGATATATCGGCATCGGTATCGGTCGATCACTAATTTTAGCTCCAGGTTGTGTTGTTGAGACGAAAAAACGGTCAGCTAAAATCTAATATTTTTCCCGTATATAATATACTATTTTTTTCCGTGAGAGAAAAAAGGATGAGTCAATATTGAGAAGATGTTACATTATATTGATATCAGAAAATTATCGACTTGAAATTTGAAGTTTTAAACAGTAAAGACACTTGATGACATCTGCATCTTTATCATTCTTTTGATGTAGACAAATATCTGTCAGTCTCATTCTGTAATTTGATTCTGAAAAATTGCGAATTAAGTGGTTGTTTAGTAATTTACATCACCGCAAGTCGAATGGTAGATGAAATTAAGGACTTGCAGTTGTTTCTGGGAGACGGTGTTATTGGCTTAAAACCATCAACAGTGTATATATCCGGGAACAAAGTAGTAACTTTTTTCCCGTCACAAAAAAAAAATTAGTTCTTGCTGTATGAAAATAGGTTGAGCAGATTTGAACGTACAAAATCTCTGCACAAATTCCTGAGGTCAAAATAAGCCGATTCAAAGCAAATAACAATAATAATAAAAAAAAACAATTTCAAAGAACAACAGTTCAGATGATGGGAATTCTGAGTAGCGCTCGATTAGTCACTAAAACACAATAGGAATATTTGAAAGAATTGGTCGAGCGCTACTCAGAACTTCCATTAGAATAATAATAATAACTGTTCTGTTCTTTGAAATTATTTTTGTTATCGAATTATGTTAGTTTTTTGAGGTCGGCACCTTATGACAGCTGATAAATGAAAACGTATCGATTTGTCACTTAAATGCAATGAGAATATTCTGATGAACTGGTAGAGCGCTACTCAGAACTCCCATCAGAATTGTTCTGTTCTTGAAATTAATTATTTATCGAATTCGTTTTTTTTTGTCGGCCCGTATGACAG